ATTTCGCGACTTTCTTTGAGACTTTCTTTGGAATGATATGTTTAACCTTCATAGTGAGAATTCCACCAGTGAAGATTCTTCTTGGGTCAAAGCCGACATAGATGATTTTATTCCTTCTCGGAAATACCAGGTGAAACCTTAATCTTCGCCATGGTTCACATCAGCATGTTTTGCCGCTATAGCCTACAGAAAGCACTATTTCCAGCTATACCGTGTAACAGTTCCGATCACAACAGACGCCTATTCGAATCTGCACGTAATAAACGTAATCGTGTCCTCGAAGGAGCTAATTTTTGTTAACTGAGAGAATGAGGCACCGTATTGCATCTAACAAATTAGGGTCCCGTGATTACTGGCGGCTCTGTAATTGTCTATTTAATGAAGCAAGTCTTCTATTCTTCCCCTCTTCAATCATTTTCAGATGTTAACATCTGCTGATAAAGTTGGATGTTTCGCCCGTAAATTCTCTTTAAAACTACTTTTGACTCATTTGGATAAATCGTTGCCGAACTTTCCACTTAGAACTTAGTCTCTGTGATATGCATATAACCCCTTCCATGGTTACTGCTATCATCTCTAATTTGGATCCCCACAAAGTATGTGGACCTTATGGTGTCCTTGTAATAGTCATTAAGAAGTGTGCTCCCGAATTGGCTCATGTCACTTTAAACTGTATAATTGGTTCGCTGATAGTTGGAAATCCTCATCTGTTGTTCCTGTCTTTAAACACTCAAGTGAACCGTCCAACACTTTCAACTATCAGCATTCTACCTATTTTGGTAAATTACTGAAGCTCTTAATCAATGCTGAATTAGTTAAGCATCTCACATCTTCTTTGAGACAAGCAATATCGTTTTCGTCTCTCTAGGTCAACTGCTGATATATCAACGATTATAGTGGAAAGTGTATATCACGCTTTAGATAAGAATGCTGAAGCTCGGGTCGTTGCTTTGGAGATATCGAAAGCGTTCGAAAGGCTTTGGTATACAGGTTTTTTTCACAAGTTGAAAGGTTATGGTGTCTCAAGACGAAGTTTTCAACTGATCCAATCTTTCATATCAAATCGTGAAATGAACGTTATCCTGACCGGCCACTATTCTAGATCTTTTTGTACTAATGCAGTTGATCCCAACCCCTAGGGCTCTATCAGCCAGTCACTTTCCCACCACCGTGCAGTTGCTACCCTGTGCCTTTTCTATAAATACTTTTGTGGTAATTGTTCGGATGAGTTCTCCCTTATGGTAGCAAGACTTTATGAATTTAAGCCACTAATAGATTGGCAAAAACGTCTCATCAATTTACAGTTGACTTGGCTAGATATAATCGCAAGTTTTACAATAACAGTTCCTTTTCCCGCACTTCTCTCTTGTGGAACTTTTTTCCGGCTCCATAATTTCCAATTAACTTTGATCTTTAAAAATTTAAATGCAATGTCAATTGTCATTCATTGTCTTCCTCATCACACTTCTATTGTCCACGCTTCTCACTAATGTTTCTGTTTTCTAATTCTTTAGCACCCAGTAACCCTTTGTGTTTTAGTGGCTTTAGTGTCTTCCATTAATAAAGACTATATAGCCAAAGTACTTAAAATTACATAAAATATTAAATATGTGTGTGTCATTCGCAGACAGTACTGTTTCGGTGTATCACAGTTCCTCAGTGCAACTAGACATCCAAATGCTAAATCTGGGATTTCAAATTTCGGAATTTTGAATTTCAAGATTTCGACATTCGGGATTTTAAGATTTGGGATTATGATCGACACCTTAATATATAATAATATATATATAATTGTCATATATATATATAATTGTCACAATATACATATATATAATGAAATGGACAAAGTCCGACAATTATTTTAAGACATTTTTATGTTTATACATCCTTTTTATAGATACAAAGTCTGGTCCCAAAGTGTTCCCATACTTACCTAAACAAAATAGACCAAACCCGGATATAAGAGAAACCTAGATATAAGAGACTTCTTCTCCGGTCCCGACAACTCTCTTATATCCGGGTTACACCATATATATATATATATATATATATATATATTTACTTAGACTGACACGTGAGACAAATAGGCGTAGACTTGAACGCGTACGCTACCACAGCTCTTGATTGATATATAGTTCGGTTAGTGTGTGTGTATGTACGTGTGTGTGAAAAGAGAGATACATAAATAACACTTAAACTTATATAAAAATATACATGACATATATAGTAAGACGCATAACTTATATATATATATATATATATATATATATATATATATATATATATATATATTGGCCTACCTCTCAGCCCCTCAGAACCCCGTGGATTACGAAGGTTTGTATCTGTCCAACGTAGCTGTCAGTGTCACAATAAGACATATTTACACTGGAACAAAAACAAGAAATAAAAACAGAACAACAACAACAAGGAAAAGGAAAAACAAATGCAGACGAAACTTGTCAAATCTCGATACACTTCGTGCCATGAACCTCACATTAGCGTCACGCGCCATGTTCATCTACAGTTCTGGCGCAATAATTCACCTCCGTTCTCTGCTCAGCCCTTTTTGTCTCTCGTCTCTCGCATCTCATTTCCGCGACTGGCTAACGTCACTTCTTACCTGATAAGTTTCATCATTCTGGCCGTAAGCTTTATCGCCTTCAGCTGGTTGCACTTTGTTGTTGAATTACCGTCCCGTGTTATCGCTTTTAAATCAGATTGCTTGGTAGCTGACGATCAGGCGGGTCTGGAGACTAATTCCTAGTGCCATAGAGTCCTTTTCTAACATGAATATTTTATGGATCATATTGTACATGATCAAGCTTTTTACTTTTATATTTCAGAATAAGGGACACACACACACATTATTCTTAAAGAGATACAGTATAACCCGGATATAAGAGACCCGGATTTAAGAGAAACCCGGATATAAGAGAGATTTTCTCTGTTCCCAAATTAGAGCCTGTGTTAATGTATATAAAATAGACCAAACCCGGATATAAGAGAAACCCGGATATAAGAGACTTCTTCTCCGGTCCCGACAACTCTCTTATATCCGGGTTACACTGTAGTTGTATCTAACCAGCAGTGGTGTTTGTCGGAGTTCGATCCCTGATAAAATAAAAAATAATTTTTGAATATGAACATTCAAGACAGGAAATTTGCTGGCTTGGCGTTATATAATCTTCCTTGATCTATCAACGCAAGCATCTGGTATGCGTAGTGATTTAGCTAGATGCGTAATTTCAACGATACCAGTAAAAAATTATAATAAATAATTATTGCTCTACTATAGGTATTGAGTCCTCTTTTGAATTAAGGCTGTGAACGTTAGAATTTATATATTATTTTCGTTCTCATTAAATTCGGAGGCCGGGTGTAACAGCAAAATTGTCCATTTCTTACATTAAACTTTGAACTGTTGTATCATAGAAATGATTAAAGATAACTTACTGGAATTCACTATTGGACACTACTTTGAGCAGTAAGAATGTATAATTACTCTACAAACTTAACAGAAGAATCGTGATGAAATCGATCATAAACGCATTAATTAATCATAGGTACGGATAGATAGCTCATGAAGTATTGAAATAACGTTCATTATAAAAAAAAACGTGTACGTATAAATATATGAATAATTTCGTTTGGTTTGGTTTGATTTGTTTTACGGCATATCAACCTCAATGGATTATTTAATGTCGACAAGATTTTTATTGCTGGTAATATTTTTTCCAAGAATGTACTGCTGGTAATATTTTTTTCCAAAAATGTATTTTTGGTAATATTTTTTTCAAAAATGTATTGCTGGTAATATTTTTTATCAAAAATGTATCGATAGTAATAATTATTCTCTTAAAAAATTAATTGCTGGTTATAATTTAAAAAAAAATGTATTTCTGGTATTAAAACCAATTTTTAGACTTTCATAGTGTTTTGACCCCTGTTTGGGGGTTAGCTATTTGCCTATATATGGGGACCTAGCAGGCCCTACCACTCCGTGTCAGGGTGGATCTGGGAACACCATCAATTAGGAGGTTGTTTCACGCTCGTCAAAACCACCTGATCAGGGGCCTTGCTGTTGGACGTAGTTTATCGTCTTACCCAGGACGCAAATATAGTTTATCGTCTTACCCAGGTCCCTGAATAATTTAGTATGTATGCACGTATGTATTGATATTAAATATAGTGATCAAAATAAATTTAAATGTTACGTTTTAAATGAGACTGTTGAATGGTAAGAATATCAAATTTGAAATTTATGATCAGCGTTTGTTTCGAGAGAAAGGAATATGAGATTTGATAATATTTTCTATAACTTTATCGAATATCTGGTCCTGAAGTGTATTTTGAAGGAAACACTGGAGTCGGTCAATTCAGATAAGTCACGTGAACTTTTATTGATTGATTTAATATATATATATATATATATATATATATATATATATATATATATATATATAATTATTTATTTAAAAATATGATTCTTTCGCTACATAAGAGTTCTCATGTTTCAAAACAAGAGCCGACGAAAACTTCAATATAATTATTTGAATTAAATTGAATTAAAGTACCAAGCTCTGTTCCATCTTCAAGCGAAATTTTTGGAATAACTAATTCTTGAAATTTACACGTTTAATTATATTGAAGTTTTCGGATCTTGTTTTGAAAAATGAGAACTCTTATGTAGCGAAGGAATCATATTTCAAAATAAATAATTATATTTAGGCTCTACTTTTGTATCGAGCACAGTTTTTTTTAAAATAATAATAAAAAAATACTAAAGAACTTTGGATTATTTACCCAACGAGTTCTTTCCTATTTTCTATATATTTTTCACACACACACACACATATTTTATATCTTTTATATTACCAACTGATGTCCCGTCTTAATTATTAAATTGTTAAGTATTTAACAAGCGATTTTTGTTGGTACTGAATCAAACTTCAAGTACTTCTTTGGTTCAGCTCGAGATATTTCAATGACTCAAGGCTTAAGGCTACATCACCTTGAAACTACTGTTTCCCGTACGGCCACCGAAGTTAAGCAACCTCGAGCCTGGTCAGTAAATAAGATGGGTGACCGCTCGGGAATACCAAGTTCTGAACGCTTGGATGTGCGGGTGGAGTAATGTATAATGGCTCGGAATTGTTAATAGGATAGCCGAGTTCCAATTCTCGTTAGGTTGGTTATATTCACTTACGTGCAAATGCTCCTGGGAATGATATGAATCTATTTCTTCTCTCCCCAGCTATGGGTTAATTAGTGAGAGTTGTATCATTAAACCATTATTATCTCAAAAAAATTCTTACAATCTAAAAATATTTTCTGGCTTTAAATGACCTGCAAAGGGTTGATAAGCCGTAAAAAAACGACTCAATCAACCTATTAATTAATGGATCAAATTGTGGGCTTTTGTGAGGCGGTGTGGTCATTTCTGAAAATTTATGTGCTTGTTGGATATGAGGCATCTGGTGTGTGTGTGGGAGGTTCAAATATTGTCAAAAGTAGTCAAATGAAAAGCCCATCAGCTATAGGCCATATTCGAAAAACCACGTAGCACGTATTTTTTTTAAGCATTTCACTCCTAGCAAGGCGGGAAGCCACTAGCACGCAAGGGGTTACAGAATATTTGGAGCAAGATCAGATAGGAGTGATAGAGGAAAGGATGGGGAGAAGGATAGTGGATAGATCAAGTCAACTGGAGATGTCGATTGACATTACATTTGAATAGTTGGAGATTACAGCTATCAGGGAAACAGGAATAGGGAAGGGACTTCCACAGGCGAGAGGTGCGAGATATGAAGTAGAAGAGACGGCTGCATTTAATAGTTTCAACTTTAAAGGGTGAGAACTGGATGCCAGCCTCGTAGGGCGCTTGAATTCATGAAGTCTGGGAACCAGCGAAAGCAGCTCATCGGAGCAATTACCAGGAAAGTATTTGTAAAAAAGACAGAGAGAGGCGACGGCGCGTCTGTGAGAAAGTGACTGTAGACGAGATGCCAGATCAGGGCAAATTATATTGCATATCCGCCTCTGGAGCCTATCAAGAACCCCGAGGCAAACAGAAGGGGCTTCCGACCATATATGGCAGTAATATTCCATGCAAGGGCGAATTGTTGATTTGTAGATCTGAAGGATCGATTCCGGGGAGAAAAATTTCCTGTCGCGGCACAGGGAGCCAACTTTCCTTGTATATTTTCCTCCGTTCCCTCTTCGAATAATTTTATGATATAATTTCTTTCTGCGGTAGATAGGTTGGCAAGCGTTTCACCCCAAGCAAGGTGGGAAGCCACTAGGACGCAAGGGGTTACAGAAGATTTGGAGCAAGATCAAATAGGAGTGGTAGAGGAAAGGATGAGGAGAAGGATAGTGGATAGATCATCGGAGCAATTACCATGAAAGTATTTGTAAAAAAGACAGAGAGAGGCGACGGCACGTTTGTGAGAGAGCGACTGCAGACGAGATGCCAGATCAGGGCCATTTATATTGCATATCCGTCTCTGCATCTTATCAAGAACCCCGAGGCAAACAGAAATGCAATCATTGTAAGGGAAGCAGTTGCAGACTGTAACGGGGTTGAATACTGAGATTTACGTTATTCGGACTATTGTCCTCATCTTTGACGCCATATTTATTACAACGTTTCGGCCGTTATACGCTCCGGCCTTCTTCAATTGGTTGGAATGTCGAACTTAACCCTTTATTTCGCTCACTGGGATAGACTGTTCTAATTCCACATGCCATGTTTAATGGATGTCAGTTATCAGTTATCTCCTGTTAATTCCCCTCTCCAAGTTCTCCACTGCCTTAACCGGGTATTGAACTCACACTCTTTGGTTCCTGTCACTGGATCTAACTAACGCCTTTATCCACTGTGCCATGTAGAACTAGAACATTCTACCCCAGCGAGCGAAATGAAGGGTTCAGTTAGACATTCTAAGCACCTGAAGAAGGCCGGAACGTACAACGGCCGAAACGTTGTGATAAATATGGCAACAAAGTGAAGAAAATTGTCCGAATAATGTAAATAGTGTGCATAATACCATATCTCAGAAATATAGACAGATAATATCCGTATGAATCCGCATGAAAAAGTGCTCTGTACGAAGTAGAGCAAAATATTATATTTTTATCATAAAAAATTACAATAAAAACATTTTAATTCTCTACATAGAAACTTTCATGTTTCAGTACTAAAATGGTATTTCTTCAGGTGATGGTAGAAAACTAGTGATAAAAATGTATTCAATTATTTTTAATATACTCAAGAAGCTTCTTAAAGGTGCCAATAGGTAAAATTAAAAATGTGGAAACAACTATATAGGTTGTTAATTATACTGAATAGAAAGTAAAACATGACAATACTATAGTTGAATAAATCAAATAAATGTTGCGGGGGACTACTATATACTAATAAAATAATGGCTATACAATTATAATATATAATTATTTCTGAAAAAAAAAAACTATATTTTAAGGTGAAAGGAGGAGTAGGGTAAGCACATTACTTAGATACGAGGACAAAGGTGTGCTGAAAAGTAATCGTCCCGACAAAGGACACATAACTGGTGAGAATTTTGGATGTTTATATATATACCGGGTGTAACAGCAAAATTGTCCAAATCGTGTAACAGCAAAATATTGCAATTGTTAGATTAAGATTTTAATCGTTTTAACTAACAAATGATTAAAGATATCTTAGTGGCTAACTGCATTATCTGAAAACCTGGCAAAAAGAAAATTGGTTTAGTGGTTTCTAGATATTAAACATTGTTTGGGAGGACAATTATCACATGGTTTTTACACGATTTGGACAATTTTGCAGTTAGCAGTATATATATATATATATATATATATATATATATATATATATATATATATATATATATATATATATATATATATATATAGGAAAAGGAAAGTTCGACAATTATTTTTAAGAGCTTTTTTTATACGTTCTTTTTATGGATACAAATATTTAGTAAATGCTCTGTTTATAATAAGCAGTATTAAACAGCATTTACCGGGCTGAATATCGGAGAATTTTCATAGAAAATATGCGTCCTCCGACAGGAATCGAACCTGTATCCAGTAGGAGGACGCATATTTTCTACGAAAATTTTTCAGACATTCAGGCCGGTAAATGTTGTTAATACTGTTTATTTTAAACAGAGCATTTACTTTATACTTATATCTATAAAAAACGTATAAACTTAAAAATGTCTTATATATATATATATATATATATATATATATATATATATATATATATATATATATATATATATATATGAGAGTGGACAATGTGGTTCATAACGAGTGGCGGCAGTCTGTTATATGCTTGAACGCAATCTGCAGGTTTCAAGATTAAGTTCACCTTCGTATCCATTTCTATATTTACACACGTTCGGATATTGATAACTTTTACCTATAAATCTATATTTTAGGATATGTGTGTGTGTATGTATGTGTATGTGTGTGTGTGTGTGTGTGTGTGTGTGTGTGTGTGTGTGTGTGTGTGGCGCATCAAAGACACGCGTGTGGACACGTGCTTAGTTTGTTATAGCGTTTCAAAGAAAGAAATTCTCGAACAATAGACAGCAAGACGTTAACATTCTCGCACCTACTTGTGGAATTTGTTGTATGAGCGCCATTTTGGTCGACAAGTGCTTTACTGATGAATTGGTGAGAGAGACTGCAGTGAACTTTTTTTTTTCTTTTCTTTTCTTTGCTTAATTGGTACGCGGCAAGCGATACTGGATCCCCTTGACAACAGTCTGCAAATATGGCCGATTATTTACCCAGATGAAAAGTCTTTCAAGAGAGATGGGTGAAATTGACAAAAAGAAGAAAAGGCAAAAGCGAAAGAATTTTTTTTATAAAAAGAACGTTTATTATTATTATTATTATTATTATTATTATTAATAATAATAATAATAATAATAATAATAATAATAATAATAATAATATACTATTACAAAATAAAATCTACTAAAATGCTAAAATATGTCTTTTACTTTTTCTCTTGATATAGTTATTCCGGGTGTAACAGCAAAATTGTCCAAATCATATGAAAGCAAAATTGTCCAAATCGTAAAAAAACAAAATTGTCCAAATCGTCTAAAAGCAAAATTGTCCAAATCGTGTAAAAGCAAAATTGTCCAAATCGTCTAAAAGCAAAATTGTCCAAATCGTGAAAAAGCAAAATTGTCCAAATCGTAAAAAAAGCAAAATTGTCCAAATCGTGTAAAAGCAAAATTGTCCAAATCGTGTAAAAACAAAATTGTCCAAATCGTAAAAAAAGCAAAATTGTTCAAATCGTGTAAAAGCAAAATCGATTGTTAGATTACGTTTGAATCGTTGTATCCTAGATAGGATTAAAGATATCTTACCGGAATTCTCCGAGGTTTTTTTTACAATAGTATTAGATTCTACTTTGAGCAATGAGAATGCATAATTACTCTCTAAGCTTAAGAGAATAATCGTGATGAAATCAATCATAAACGAAAATGACATTCTCACAATTAATCATAGCTAAGGATCGGAAGCTCACGAAGGATTGAAATAAAAATACATAAATATATATATATATATATATATATATATATATATATATATATATATGTGTGTGTGTGTGTATGTGTGTGTGTGTGTGTGTGTGTGTGTGTGCTATTCCAGAACCGTTATCCAACTTATTCAAGATGATCTTCGTTCTCTCGTCTTCTAATTTTCTGTCCTGGAGTTACAAGTTGCCTGACACGTTTCACGTACGATTTCATTTTCAAGTCTTTTTTTTCACTGCTCTTTGCACTGTTATTGCTGAAACTCATCTCTCACCTGCCAAACGTTTTACAGATTGAGCTGGATCTTTTTTAATTGATCTCTTTGGCTTCAAGTTGACATCATGACCCCTCTTCCTTTTGTGACCTCCTGATCCAGTTTTCCTCTTTACTGTTCCCTCTTTTTTTTAAAAATATTCACGGTTCTCTTGATGGTTCTTGAATGGACTTTGAAGAGGGAGTCCAAATTATGAATGTTGATGTAATTACTGAAGGCCTGAATGATATTTTTCCTCTCACCATTGCTCATTTGAGAAGATAGT